TGAATTATTCTGAAAATTAAGGGGCGTTTGGCGCCAGGCCAACATTACACTGATGCGAATAAAGTCGTGTTTGTGGACTTGTGTATCTGCATTTGGTCAAAATCCAAAACGGGGGAATCCCTGGTCAATAATTCCCTCCTCCAGAACCTCGCATCATGAGTAAAATACAAATAATAGAATGTACGAAAATAATCTATATTCGGGTTAAGATTATTAGCTGGGGGTATGGGGGGCAAAAAAAAACGGCGCATACTGGTAAGATGCAAATGTACTGAATTGCATTCATCTCCCTCGTCTAACAAAAAAAGGAGGGGGAAAAATACGGGATCGATTAAGATGGTATCATTAAAAATGTTTGAGCTACCACGCATAAAATAAAGGATACATGTGAACGAAGTAGGAATCACCGCCGAACCCTGAATGCTAACCCCAAGAATGGTTAGACCTCAGATGAGACATTACATTTATTTAACTATTTTGAAGTACTTCATTTGTATAACTTTCACCCAGGCTCCAAAAACTCCAACAGCCTTTCTTACCATGCAATCTTTCCTCTCTTATAGTATTAGCAATGCGGCGCACCTGGAGCCGCATCGTCGAGTGCCCCCCCTTCTCAAATCCATACTTTGATTTCATAACTTCGAGAAGTCCCTTCCTGCCACGGAAAATATTGCCAACTTCACGAAAACTGGTTGAGGCTGGCAAGAACACCCTCCCTCCAGGCCCAAAGACCTGCCCAAGTGGCACCGGGACCAACCAGAGCTTGGCCGATGACCACAGCCACAGCTCCCTTGATAGCATCGCAGTTTCCAATGTATCCCGAGGTGCGGAGTTGCCAAACAGAGAACAGGTTGCTGATCACAACTGACCCAAGGCCAATTACCATATCATATCGGAAGAAGACAGCAACTTGAGCTGCAAGGTCGGGCAGGCTCCAGTCCTCGGTGAAGATGTGGGGGAGATCGAAAAACGTATCGAAGAAGGAAAAGTCCGATTGCATGTAAGCAAAAGAAAGGACCAGGATGTGAGCGGTTGCCTGAATCATGAAGGCGTACGTGTAGGAGGCATTGAGGGCGGGGAGGTCGTCCTTCTCATAGTGGTTGAATGATGACGATTTCTCACTTGACTTGGTCAACCGTGTCCAAAGCCTGGAGATGACGGAGAGAACAGTGACGAGAACGCATGCCACTATTGGTGCAAATTGCCACACAGCTGCCGCATCTTGGATGAAGGCCTTATCCGCCGAGGGGAGGAGTAGGAAAGCAGTTGGAATAACGTATCCCAGGGTAAGTGCAGCAGGGACAACTCTTGCGGTTGAAGGGTTGACGTATCTGCCGGTGGGGAAAGTGTCGCCGATGAAGGCAAAGAGAACGGCGTATAGTGGCCCAATACGACCGATGCCATATAGTTGCATGAGAGCGAGATATAGAGTTGGGAGGGCCAGGGGGGTGCCGTAGTTACCTGTGCGGTGGCCCTCAATGGCTAGGACCATAATTGGTGAAACAAGTTGTGACAAGAAGTACGTGAGATGCAGCTTGGTTGCAAGGGAGCCCTCAAGGCCATATGAGAAAATGGAGGCAAGAGTTCTCAAGATTTCCCCGCCAAACACCTCAGGTGATGCCCAAGGCCTGTCGATGGCAGCATATCCCGCCCAGGTTTGGAAAGCGGGCAGATCGAGGCGCCATGCCTTGAAGGTGACGTAAATTAAAAACCCCATGACAAGAACAAGACTGGCCAGGCCCATGGTGCGGTGGTCAGATTCGGAAGGTTTTGCAGGGAGTTCATCGTTATAGGGAATGACGTGTGGGCGCTTGACAACGGGCAGGGCCTTGAGTTTCGAAGTTCCGAGCAGAGGGTAGGCGTGGAGTCTCAAGTAGAACTCGGGCCCGATGATTGGCGATACAAGGTTCCAGATGACGTCCGTAAGCCAGGGATGAACAGAAGAATTGATCGATTGATGATCGTGTGATAAAGAGACAATGTCGTTGGCCCGCTCATGTCGGCTTGCCTGCATTTTCTCGAAAATGGATTCAACTTCTGGCACGGAGAGATCGTTGAGACCAGTAGGTCGTGCACCCTTTGCTTCCAAGAGTGCGTTGAGAAGCTCAGCAGCTGATTCGATGGCACCATTTCCTCCCTGTCCTCCAATGGGGTCCGGCTGAGACAACAGTTGTTAGTCTCGGATTGCTATTGGGTTTCAGGGACTACTTACCTTGTGAGCGGCGTCTCCAAAGATGAGAATTCTCTGGAACCACCATTTTTCAAACACCCACTCATGAAGTGGTGTCAGAGCCGAAGAGATTCTCTTTGAGAAAAGTTGACCGAAATTAACCTTCTTGGTGATCGGCAGAGAAGCGTACTCTTTGGCAAACATAGCTTCATCCTCCTTGTTGTATCGCGGGATATCCTCTCCAAATTTGGGCTTTGGTAATCGAACGAAAATGAACCAGTAAACTCTGCCTTCGGGGCCTGAAATGATCAACTGAGAGAGGCCACGACCCTTGATGACATTAAACTCTCCTTCAGTGTAGTTGGGGACATTCTTCGCAATGCCGAAGCTGCACTTATAAAAGCATGGTACCTTATCAGGCTCATCGACTGAGAAGTGACCAGGCCGAAGCTCATTGCCCAGCTCGAACATTTTCTCTCTGACTGTGCTCCAAATGCCATCTACCCCTACAAGGATAGAGCCCTTGTAGGAGCTGCCATCCTCCGTCTGTGCTTTGATGCCGCCGTCGATGTGGTCAATCTTTGTCACCTTTTTGTTCAATAGCACTCTGTCCTTGTGCTGGATTTTATCAAAAAGAATTTGCAAAAGCCACTGGCGATCAAAGAAAAGAACAGGATACCCATGTCTTCATGATTGTAGATTAGCACAATGGTAACCGAGTCTCCGATTGGTGTGGCTTACCGCTTCATCATATGATCATATCCTTCCGGGATTAGTGTCAGGGGAGTGCCGTCTGTGTCTCGGAGGCGGTTCAGCCTCAATGGTGAGCAAGGCAGATCGGCAATGGGCTGATAGCACCCAATCTGATCCAGGATACGTAGACCGTTGGGAAACATTCCAATGCTGGCGCCAACTTGTGGCGCGACCTCGGCGTGAGACTCCAGAATAACATAGTCGATGTCGAACTTCTCCAGCATGTTGGCCAGGGTGAGGCCCCCGACGCCGCCCCCTACGATGACAACTTTGAAGCTGTCCTTTGCCATTGTGCTGTGCTTTTCGAACGGATTAGTGAGGAGTCAATTCTGGTCAATTGGTACAATGGAGACCAATAAAGGAGAAACGACACCAAGGAAAGGGCCAAAAAGTGCAGACCATGAGAATTGAGGGGCGCGCGAGTCGCCTTTTTACACAAACGAAAAATTTCAAATTTTGGGATGCGCCGATGAACATCAGACACACCGAAAGTAACATGGTATCACCATGGGATTTGGCTCTTAATCGTATCCGTTTTACCAGGGTCCCGTCTTCGGATCCTCCCATCCCGGCAGCCAGAGCCCAAAATCATGTGAGCGGCGAATCTGCCAGGCACGGTCCCGGGCTTCATGGTGGACAGCAAAGATCCCACAGCCCCAAACACCGGGGAGATTGCCGTTAGCTGCCCTGAAAAGCTCCGAGTATTTCCGCTACGGCGCCCGTCGTCGCGGCAGTCCTCGTGGGAAAAGGGCCAGGAAATACCAATGGAGGTTTGAGGGCCCCTGCATCGGATCAGGGTTGCATGATGTGAGGTGACTTTTGTCAGTCCTGGAGGCTAGCCGTTGCAGTGGGTCATTCTGACATAAATTTCACTTCTTGTTGGCCATCATGGATTGGCAATTCTTGTTGGGACCACTCTGTAGAATGAGCTCTGGAATCTACGTAGCCTCTGAGCCTCCAAGCAGCCAATCATCAGAGCTCTGAGTGCTTTTAGATCTATTGTAGTCACATGCAAATGTGCCCCTTGGCTAATTAGCCACGGCTTATTGGTCAATTCCTGCCAAAACCCGTAGATGGGTCTTGCCGGCTGATATCAGGCCATTATCCCCCAGACCCATCCCTTCGCTCAAATTACGGTCAGGCTGAAGATACGTATGTACAAGACACAGATTTCTTCCTACGCGTGACTAATCAAGTAGCACCCATTCCCTTGCTTGCAAATGTCACTGAAGTGTGTGGCTTGTATTCATATGGATGTGGAGACGTGCATGCCCACCAGACTGACCTCTTACTTTGACAGTTGTTTTCTCTCTAGACGCCTACTAACGAGTTATCCCTTAAAGAGCAAACCCTGAAGGACTGTTTATAAATATCAGAAATAGTCTCTTCTTGAAAAGAAAGAATAAATGGCCCTCACTGTGTTCTCTTTCATTGTGTTTTCAAAGGTTAAGAAGCATTTCTATTGAAGCTATCTTCTCTGATCCCTTCCACTCCCCTTCCTCTCTTCCTGTCATCGGGCTGCCCTACTTGTTCTTCTGAATGATGGCAGATATCTGTAGTGATCTAGCCTTGGGCACTAGAAACACCTACTACTCTAACCCCTTGCTCTTAATGCTGAGATGGCATTGGCATCCAGTTTATCCCGGAGCACACGCCCAAATAGCGAAGGCTGCGGAGGTCTTAGTCTAAGGGCTCTGGCTAAGGGGCTACTGGTACTCACTGGGTGGGTTGGTATCCTCGAGCTTGGTGTGTGAAAGTGTTCAGATTGATAAACGAAGGAAGCTAGGTGAAAAGGGGTAGTTTCCATGGTCATTCGACGAGCGGCTCGTCCTGAAGGCAAATGAGTTATTGGTATAAAGGTTTGTAGACTTTTCCTTCCATATGATTATAGCCCTAGGCTAATAAAGGCATCTTTTTTTTTCGTTTTTTTTTTTTCGTTTTTTTTTTTTTTCGTGTAATGGCCATTTGAGATGAAATTGCTAGAGTGTCGGGCACATTAGAATGCAACTAGCCACGCGAGAGTCGAGAGAGTTCGACTGAGGATCTCATTTTCGCTTATGCTGGGAGTGTTGTCAGCATGGTCAGCATGGTTCGCATCTGACTGATGTGTCAATCGAGCTCGCCTTGCCGCTGCGCCCCAATGACCACTTGGCTCGGGAACTAGCCTCCCCTGTTGCGATCTTCTTGCGGCACATCCAACTTCTTAATCCAAGTACAAGACGTGTGGTTGCCCCATTAAGGTTTTGGTACAAGATACCCGTACGCCCTACTTTTGGAATAAGAAGAAGGAAGAGATTTTCGGAAAGATCGCCCATCGCCTCTCTAAAGACAAGCCTAGAGAACTCCTAGGACAGACTCTCCCTAATTTGGCCCGCGTGTTCGACAAGGAAGCTTTACAAAGCCTCAAAGACGGTAATCTATGGCTTGCTGAGTGGAATACACGCTCGGAAGCGGGCCTTGAGGAGTCGAAAAAGGCTTTTCTCCAAGACGGTACTGGGTTCATTGATATCCTAGTTGAGTTCACTGAATTGATGCGTGCCGAAAGCCATCTGGCCGTCTTGCTAAAAAGCTCCGGTTCTCGATTCAGCACGAGACTCTTACTAGCAATTGCCAAAGATTTAAAGGATGTTAAACCTCCGAAATCTACCCAGCCAATCGAACCGAATCTTCACGAGTCGCCGGATAATATTCTGAATGCAAATATAGAGCACAATATCCCTCCCGACAGAATTTCGGCGCTTCTTGGAGATCACGCCGAGGCATCCAAGAGTAACGTATCTCAAAAGAATAGAGCCCACAAGGCCGAAAGGTAGGTGATCGGGTTTCTGGGAACACCACGACACCCGAGCTACTAAAGGTGGTTTCTAGTAATGTGGCCGCAAGATGCATCTTTGAGTTGCTGTGGGAGACTGAATTTGAGAAGTTACCCCATCGCAGCAAGAGCAGCGCGCGTAGAACCAAGACAAGAGACAAGATCGTGAGCCGCTTCTTCAAATACCTCAGCAAGACTCAACAAGACCTGGGTAATATCAAAAAGGGGCATATCCTGTTCCGGTACAAACAGAGGCTTAGGAAGTTCGTCTCGCAAGTGGGTTGCCTTAGGGACTATCCTGAACCGGAAGATAATATCAACGAGCTTCGCCTCTTCCTGTCGACAACAATGAGCCATTTTGCCAAGCTCCAGGAGCAATATATGGAGATGCGAGAGGAAGTTCGGAAGCATCGTCGCTACATCAGCGCTCTGCAATTCCGCTACTTGCTCGAGCACTTGCCCGACCCAAAGTTAGACAGCAGTGCAGGCCCCAGATGGGAAAAATTCTGGATGAACTCTCTCCAGCATGAAGCTAACAATAATTCAACAACTCCACCGGCACTACCAGACCACGTACTGAAAGATCTCGTCGACCAACGAAATCCCACACGACTCCAAGGAGACCCTAGAAACGGACCGCGGAGCATTCATACCCGTGGGCAGAAGGGATTCCTCTTTGAAAAAGGAAATACCCTGTATACATCGCTGAGCGACGAGATACATGGATACAGTTATGGGGAGTTTAAAATTGACGATAGTGACGGCTGGGACAAAGTGACAACTGAAATACTTCGGGCGCTAAAGCCCCTGGATGAGAACACCAATCGTGCCACTCTGAAGGTGGATTGGGCTGCAGAGCGGGCAAGATACTATACATGATTTCCAGCAAGGATGTTGAGGTACAAGATACCCTTGTAGCCATATTAAAGCTGGGTATAATCACTCCAGATAGCTTGTTAAACTAAGATGGGCCTCTCAATCTCCTGATGTGATTTAATGGGCACTTTGAAGGGAGACTTTAGATCAGCATAATCGGATATAAGATAGATACTAAGACTTTAAACTGAAATCTGTGACACGAGATATTTCGAGGATCCTGTCTGCCGCGGGGCTTGATGTATCTTATTGGCAGGATCCGGGACTTTGGAAGACTGCGTAGTTGTGATGGGCCAGTGGACTCTTAACTACATGTTAAGTAAGGTAGGTATGCACCAAACAAAGTGAATGTTGGTTCCAGTATCCACCCCCCGCTTTCGCTCTGTCTGACTTAAAACCAGGCGGCGAACGATGGTGCCCAAGGTCGCGCTACTCCCTACTCTCTTGTACACTTTCTGTTACTTGGCCACTACGTACGTCAGAGCATCATCCAGCAAGGTTGATATCCCAGACAAGAAAACCTCCCTGTGCCATCTATTTCAGTTCAAGCTGCGACGAGCTAGTGCCTCAGAACAGGCAGCGATTGGAAAATACAGCATGGCTAGCACCGAACCACCCGAGACCACCCAACATGAAGACAGCATGGCCGCGAATGGTCCTGACCGGATTAGGGAGCAAGAACAGTTTACTCTTCTGTCACAGAAAATCAACGACCAAGCCGATGCACTTCCGTCTCCAGCTATGGATATCTTCAGCCGCCATTTGCGGACTGTTCGTATCACTCAGCTCGCCCCTGAGCCTTTGAGTGACATTTTCGGTTATTTTCAGCATCCAGCTCTGCATGAAAATAGAATCAATATGGATTGCATTAATGCAAGATTCCCAAGAGATCATTTTCAAGCCTTGAAGAGTCTTCGGCTTACATGCTCTCTATTTAACCAGATTGCAACACCTCTACTACTTCCAAACCTCCGAGTGCAGGTTGGCAAACCATCTCTGGATAGGATACAAGCAATTGCGAAAAATTCTCTTCTTTCTGCCGGTCTGCGTGGAATTCAAGTCCATATGGGATATCGCTTCAAGACACTTGCCTTGGATGAAACAGAGTTTTTCAGTTATCAGAGAGGCCACGTCAATCAGCTACTCAACTATCATGCTATGTTTCTAAAACACTGGATTGACAAGGCAACTGGGGATGGAACAGGTCAGGCTCTTCTTTGGAGCGATGAGCGCTTTACAATGCTTGAGAGGATCCGGGCTTGCGTGCTTGCATGTGATCGATATCTTGGTAGAGAAGCTCTGTCCACCCCACGGATATCAAGCCTACCATACGATGCTTTACCAGAGCTGCTCAAGGAGCCAGTTAATGACGAACTTGTTGCTGAATATCAAAAGGTCCTCTATCAAGCCCATCAAGACTATAGAGTAGGGTACGAGAGAGACTGGCCGGTGGTGTCAAATGGATCGCTTGTCGATGCTCTGGCACAGCTAGTCTCTATGCCACTTCGCCCAGTGTCTCTTAGTTTTGATGAACTACCACAGTGGAAGCAACAGCACTTTATATTTACAGACAAAGACCAAGCTTCTAGATGGCTAGCGCGTCCGACAAGACCATCTGAAGCGTGGAAGCTAGAGGGAAAGCCGATAGAAGATGATCTTGTCGCACACTGTGGACTTCTTTGGAATCTCCCAATCCATATCCACCAAACAGGGAGTCTTCTGAACAGCCTTGAAATCAAAAGCCTAGTGGTGAGCCAGGGGTATAACATGATTGGGGCACCCACGACGTTGGCTTGGCCTAGATGGAGCCAGTTGCAAGTGGCATGTCAATACCTACAGACGCTTACTCTCACCAGCCTGCATTTTGATTATAGGCTGCAGATAGACCGATATCCCATTAACATCACTACTACAGAGGATACGATTGATCAGGCATCTATCGGAAAGTATATTAGCACTGTACTTTCTGGGAGAGCACTGAAGAGGATTGAGCTTGATGCTTCTACACCTGGGCTGAGAAGTCTTAGTAGAGGAGGAACAAGATGCCCTCTTGGCCCTATCCTTGGTCAAATGTCCTGTCAGCATGTGAGATTAGCGACGTTGATAAACGTCGGTATCTCTCAAAAGGAACTAGAAATATTTGCCAAATCACTGAGCCCAGCCATCGAGCCTCTTAGTATGGAGGACGTTTGGCTGACCCAAGGCAGCTGGGTTCCTGTCCTTGATCTACTGCGAGATATGTTCAAGGAGAGATATGCTCGAGAAAAATGTCAGGTACAGTTGAAGTTGCTGTCAGGTGGGGAACTCCGGCGCCTGGCAATAGATAATTCCGAGGAGAAGTTAAATTCTCTTACGAAACTGACGGAACTGTTCATGGAATATATTGAGGGTTATGGGGTTAGTAAGAACCCGGCAATTTTAGAAAAAGGGAACACATGTAGCTCAGGCAAGACAGGCAAGAGGCGGACAGAGCCTCGGGTGGGGGTACAAGTCGCAATATCCATCCTTTCGAAACATATCAGGTCCAAAGGCAGCAAAAAGACAATTCCCTGATCATTAAATTGCAGTTGGGTAGGGCTACTTCATTGAGAATTCGATGGTTCTAACAAATTAAGCGTCTGTTAAGAAGTCAAGATCTGAAGTCGCTTCCGCTATCTGTCCGGTGCTGGGGACCTGCTTGCGTTCCAGGGAGCTTTTGATTAGGTATACTACAGTCATCGCGAAATTTACCCCCACATCACTCAGCAATTTGCCGTGTTAGTACAACTCTACATCAAACGAATTCAGGACTCCTGACATGCCCTTAAAACACCGATCGTGACTTGGCACCCCAAGTTGGGTTGATTGAATGGTGAATCAGTAGTGAAACCCCGCCTTTGCTTTGCAAATGAATCTACTAGAAATAGTGCTCCAACGGCATCCAGTGCTTCCTGGTAGGTATGGTCGTATGAGGTTGGAAGCCAGGTTGTTGGAATCTAAGTTGGGGTTGCGGTGAAGAGATATAGGGATAAATTACCATAATGGACGATTTAAGGGGCCTTATTATACCTTGATTGACAATAACTCCGCCATAATATTTAGTATGTTGATCACTATGCTGATGATCATTGATCTCATGCTTGAATTCAATGTCGCTGATCTTGGTGTGACACGCTTTACTTCACACGCTGGGGCCTCGATCGCTTAAGCTGGCAACTCAAACTTTTGTTGGCCTTGAATCTCGTATCTCTGTTCACCTCCAATTTCCACTTTGGCTTGATCGTGCAGCTCAATTTTTGCTTGGCCATGTAACTCGAACTTCGCCTGGTCATGAAGCTCTGACATGGGTGGCGATCCAACCAGGGTAGGATCTGATGTCTCGGTCTTGGATTCGTCCCATTGGGTTGGCTCCCCAATCTTCTCTTGTTCTCTCCTTCGTCGCTTTAGTAGAAAGAAGATGATAGCCCCGATCAAAGCGAACCCGGCGAGGCCGGCGCTGACGCCAATACCCGCTTGTGCCCCGGTAGATAAGCTTTGAGATGCCCCTGATGCAGATGAATTGGCGCTCGTTTCGGCAGCCTTATCGGCCGTTGAATCGCTTGTTGACGCAGTCGTGGTATCCGTCGCCGAGTTAGTTGAAGGAAGATCAGAGCTCTGGAAGTTCAGCTGATAGATGGGCGCGCGGACAACAACATGGGCGGCGTAGGGAACTGGACCGGCACCATGTCCTCTATTTGTGATTGTTCTCGGAATCTCGTACCAGTTGTTCCCGCTGAAGACAGAATAACAATCGACCTGGTTATAGTAAGTGCTGGTCTGAGTGAAAATGCAACTTTGGCTCGTCCCATCATTTTGGAACAAAAATGAGCTATCCAGTCGGGTCAGCTTGCTCTCACGATGCTTCAAGCCTGCCACTTGGTAATTCTTCTGACCTTGGGCAACACCCAATTGCCATCTCACCCTCGACGAGACTATATATCGGCTGCCAGTTTCCCTCGCCTCCAAATGTTGTGGACACGGCGGTTGTGTGGCCATCGGGACAGCGGAGTCCAGGGGAATAGAATCCCTCATCAGGACCATTAGCCATTCCTACCGCGGTCCATGACGGAAAGCAATCGGTATCGATCTTTGCCGAATATAGTAAATTCCTGGCACAACTCGTCGTTGTTTGGCCTGATTTCGTTGAACATGTAGTATATGAGCCTGTACATGAGAATCCACGTTCTACCGTGGCGATGGATGATAAGCTTCCAGCGGTATCAGTTTGTATTAAGGCGACGGTGCAAGAAGATGGGATTGCAAATGGAGTAGTCAGGGGACCAAGAATAGGTCTGCGGGTCGACATCATTTCGGAGGAAGTTGTTAAAGGAGCGAGGAAATCGGTGAGGATGCTTGTATGAGACGAAAGGTTATGTAGAAACGAAGGAAAATGGAAAAAGGATGGAAGAAACAGCCGAGAAGGTCTTCTTCCCTTAGCCTCGGCCTTGTTCTTTTACGGTTGGTAGCGTTTCAGCCAGATCTTGGAACGGACGGGCCATTTGCATCTCCATTTTCCTTCCAATGAGAGTGACGAGATGCGTGGGACAATCATGCACAGTGCAAGGACAGGGGGAAGAACGTGATGCCAAGCGCCAGTCAAGGAATAATTGCACCTCGCATGGCCATTTCCTAAAGCAACAAGTGCTAAAGATCAAAAGCATTGTTCACGGATCTGGGATCAAAGCCTTGTCCCTCAACTCCCAAGCCTTTACATTAATGTCCAAATCACGCTAAACATAATTTATTCACTTTGATATACGCAACAGCCTTGCAACGTGGGTCACTGAATCGAAAGGACCTGCAAGTTCTAAGTCAAGATATGATATGTCATTGGCCGAATATCACAGCCAGGCCCGCAGCAAGTACAGCGACCAATCTTATTCCCCTCGGTGTAGAAGATGCTAAACTCGACGTGGATTCTGCCCCGCCATCCGTTGTAGCTGATGACCCAGATGCGCCAGATGTGATAGATGCGTTGCTATCACTCGTGGTAGAATCAGTTCGAGAGCTTGCCGAATCGGAATCGGTCTCAGTCGCAGTAGAGCTAGGCAGCGTGGCGGTTGACTAGATTTCGCCATATTAGTGACATGATCCAAGCCTTTGATAAATGGGATGATCAGATGTACAGGGTTGGCGTATGCAACGCCCAATGCGAATAACACGTCACGACCAGACGTCACTGGATGTCTTTCCGCACTATCCGTCTCCACTGGTTTCCCGTCCACTGTCTCCGTCAGAAAGGCAGTTTTGAAGACTACAGTGGTGTTTTCGAAGTTGCTCGAGCAGCTAACATTCGCATACGTTGAAATCGCTCCATCGTGGCAAGTGAAATCGTATGCACTTCATAGTTTCGTCAGCTTACACTCATATGGTTGCACCGCACCTGCATAAGAGTGCTCTTACGTTGGGCAACATGTTGTGATACCGTCCACATTGCAAGCAGAAGTAAAGCCGTTCGGGCATGCAGTGCCCAGCATATGGCCGAAGGGAGTATAGCTGGGCGGGTAGCAGCTGCTGACATCGGTTGGTGCCCCAAGCATCTCCGCAAGGGCGGCTCCTCCTGCATGGCCTCCACTGTGGCTAGAATACCAACGATTCCATTCCCAATACCATATATCTTTCGTAGGGAGGCAGCGTGTTGGCTGTGACCAATCCGACGCGAGGACAGGAGCCTGTGTTATTGTCATATCCATCGTGAGCTATCACCGCGAGAAGATTGACGATTCGCCTATGTAATGAGGAACAATCGATGTTTAAAATACGTTATGACTCACTTAAATCTAATTTCTACGATGCTATAAACACGTGACGGGTTCAATCCTTCTTGCTTGGCACATTCTCACCTTCCCATTGTGGTTAATCTAAGGGAATTTTGACCCCATGTCCATCAGAGACGGAAGTTCCTCCCATCAAATAAGGGAGATATAAGCACCGCACTCAGATGAAACAAACTCGGATAACCGTACATTTGCGATACACTTATTGTAGGTTGATTTCTTTCTGTTGAAGTGATTGTCATTATTTTTTTGGGGGAGTCATAGTATCCCGCCTGGCGTTAAGTGAATACTATAGGAAGGAAGACATTCTTTACGTGTTTTCCTGTTAAATGAATAAAGCATATAGTTGTAGAATTATTACGCTGCGACAAAACAAGGCGGTAGTTAAACTAAGACGATCACTGGAGAAAAATCCCAAATTATAGTGATCTCGCTTAGCTTTGACTTAGTTTTGGTTGTTCATGGGAAAATTCTGATGCTTGGTTTTATTCCTAGCTGGAGGCGTCGGTTGGCGGGTTCATTAACGCCATGGACGGTTGAAGTAAGGGGAAAGAAGAAGTTCCTGGATTCTAAGACTCGTTCTAACTAAGACCCGTTTCATGCCTTCGCTAGTCGTAGAACGTGGAAATGAGAGAAAGAAAATTCGAAGGCGGAGTAGAATAAACAATGCTTGGAGGGGGATATTCCTAAAAGAAATGTAGTAATCTGGACAAGAGTAACCAGAGTATATATAACAAGCCATATACCGGAACCATAGTTAGTACTATCCCTTTTCCAAGTGTGAAAATTGACTTTTGAGAGTTTCATGCTGCAAGACTCTGTATCTATACTTCAGATGTCACAATAATCTAATTGCTACCGACTTCAATTAAGTGTCTCGAAATTAAGAGAACTTAACTCTTATCTACACGTTGCCTAAGTTAGGGCTAATGTTTAAGGTACCTACCTATGTATTAAAAATGTGGCAATGTATCTTCTTTCTTCGCAAGTAATATCCTGGATCCTGGAAATTCCAAGCGAAGGTAAAGTTTCAGAGGGACCAAACAAAGGTATAACTTGTTATTGAACTTACGAGATTTGAAGCCGGTGGACTTTTAGGGTTTGCAAAAAGCTACTGAAGATTCAGTCCCGGCAGCGGTGTGTTACTTTGACACCTCAGGCGGAGACGGAGGATTCTGCCTAATGAGGCTGAGCAACATATCCCGGAAGCAACATTTTTATTTAAGCCAGCCACTTCGTGTATGGTCTTCTTGTTCTTCTGAAAATTGCCCACGTGAGCGATTTACTAGACGCTGGTCATGGTTTTCCTCAAGGGACTCCCTCGATGGAGATTCCACACCGCCATCCAATGCTCGATTGGCGCGCGACTCCAACCTCCTCATCATCGTTACTACAGCGCGAGCACTGCCTCTTCAGAAATATTGACCGAAACACTCCATGCCATCACCGACGTTAAGCTAGCGCAGCTCGAGAAACAGCAACAGTCGTATGAGCTGGGGAAACGCGCTTTGCACGATGCTCTCAAGGATGAGCAGCGCAGTAGGAAGAGGGTTCAATCATTGATTGATGGCGCCGAGAAGCTTCCCGCCATGACACCATTAGGTCGCGATCCCTCCATCTCAATCGACAATTTGCGAAGTTTTCTGGAGCAGGCAGAGTTTGACGCTTCGGTTACCTCCGACTTCTTGACCGAATACGAGAGTACTATCAACAAAAAGCTCGACGAGCAGTCGGCAAGATATGAATTCGCGGCTTTATACGGGCGTTTGGTCAAGGAATGGACATCCTCTAGTGGTGACAGTGCGCAAGACGGCGAGAACGCGGTCGGTCGAGAGGAGATGCATAAGCAACGTACCATCTGGAAAGAATATGTGTTTCACCCCAAGAACCTCGATGCCGATGCGATCAAGTCTTATCTCGACCAGCTCTTCACAAAGAACGATTCCAATGCTGTGAAGGATGCTTTCAAGATTCTCCAAAAAGACGTCGAGGATTTCCAGAAAAGCTGGGATGATGAGGTACACTTCAAGGAGACTACCGTGACCCAGTGTATCAAGAGCATTTTGAAGGACGGGGCACTCTCTGATCACAAGAAAGCTGCTCTCAACGGTTTTCTGGGGAACGGCTTGGTACTGAATGAAATCGCGGACGTCTTGAATATGCGTATGGCCTCTCGCGCTTCTTTCGAATGGAGTGGCGTCACTACAATAGAGCAGCGGCGGCACCTCAACGGCCGGTACCGTTTCTTTGCTTCTGACCAAGACGTGCTGCAGACTATTCTCATGCAGTACATTGGTTTAAGGTGGGCGACTAAAATCAAGCAAGTGCTTAGGCGATTTATTTCGCAAACCGGCGTCCTGAAATCGACCGAACGGACATTGACTTGGGATGAGCGGCGTCGCCGTCGTTACCTTTTAGTGGGCGACAATGTGCACTCTTCTGCTAGAAGCGTAGAGTCACAGGAGAATGGCTATTGGACGTCTCAAATCTTTCTTGACCAGCTGCCTAATGAGATGTTTGAGGACCGTGCTGGTTATAGCGATGAGGGGCAAGAATATGACGAAGAATACGGTCGGAGCAGTGCTCTCAGCGTGACACAAGGTTTGCTCAACCGAATCCGAGCCAATGTCATGATGCGACGACGCCTAGACAAGGACACCACGGTGATGCGTTCTGACTTCAAGTGGTTCGGTCCTTCGCTTCCCCACCAGTCAATCTTCGCTGTTCTGGAGCACTTTGGTGTCAAAGGGGAATGGCTTGATTTCTTCAAGAAGGCGCTGGAAGCCCCTTTGGTGTTCAAAGACGAGGCAGGATCCGCACCCCAGATCAGAAGAAGGGGAACTCCAATTAGCACAACCCTGGAAACGTTCTTCAGCGAAGCATTGCTGTTCTGCTCCGACTTTGCTGTGAATCAGAGAGCTAACGGCTCCCGACTATATCGTCTCCATGATGACATCTGGCTGTGGGGTGACAGCGAAGCGTGTGTCCAGAGCTGGAACGCCTTGACCGAGTTTTCTGATGTGATGGGGATCGAGATTAATGAGGACAAGACAGGCTCTTGCACAGTCTTGGCGAAGGGAAGCAAGAAAACCACAACAAGTTCCGCTGGCTTGCCGCGGGGTGATGTAGCCTGGGGCTTCCTCAGGCTCGACCCCGAAACAGGTCGCTTTTCAATCAACCAGGCTGAAATCGACAAACATGTCAGCGAGCTGAGCCTACAGCTCAAGGCCTGTGACAGTGTTTTTGATTTTATTCAGGCTTGGAACCTTTACGGCGCCCGATTCTTCCAGGCACACTGCGGTAAGGTCGCCTGGTGCACCGGCCGACAGCATGTCGACGAGATACTCGAGACCTTCCAGAGAATCCAATCCGCTTTGTTTGCTTCTACGTCTGGAAGCGTGGGTCTTTATTTGAAACAGATGATTGGGGATCGGTTGGGGCATGTGCCTAGAATCCCGGACGGCTTTCTCTACTACCCCTCCACGATGGGGGGTCTGGGGCTCGTCAATCCGCTCATTGACCTGTACATCATCCGGGACGACAGCGCGAAGGAACCAGAAATCTTCATGGATGAATTTTTCGAAGCCGAGAGGAAGAATTATTATAGGGCAAAGCAGAGATACGAGGCTCGAGAATTCGGGGAGAAAGGACGGCCTATTGCGGAAGAGCTCGGAGGTGATTGGGAATACTTCCGGGGCAAGCCCTTTATGAGCTTCGAAGAATACATACAAGACCCAGATCTCACAAGTGACACGAAAGGAGTATGCTACAGCAACTTACTTACCACACCTGAACCTCGCGGTGTTGAAATATCAGGACAGGATAAACTCAAAGAGTTTGAGAAAATCTCTCCCGACGACAGAGAGTGGACAGATTACGAGACATGGGTCGTTGAGCTGTATGCAAAGGAGATCATCGATCGTTTTGGGACTCTGGTTATCATTGAGAAGGGGCTACTGCCGACCAGTCTCGTGACAATGCTGAGGAATAATCGGTTCAAATGGCAAAACTGAAGCAGTGTCATATAGGCTTTGGCATGTATTCTTAGTCTCCCCTCCCATATTTAGAAACCCTCCGCTTTTAAAGGTCCTAATGGACGAAGTCAACTGTAACGATATTATTCACATTAGACTCGAAATGCTTTAGTGTTACCCAGACCAAAACCACCCCAACGAGCACCGTAGCCAAGTTTCGCTCGCACGTGCTTGGCTGGCTCTTTTAGGAAAATCAATTGGATCTTACATATGGCGATCCGGCATGCGATGATCGCTCAGATATTGATTATCCCCAAGATGGCGTTGATGGAAATACACACCAGCTGGTTTTGCCTATGAATGGGAGCAAGGGGCTGTTCTAAAGCTTGGCGACTTGCCCCACTAAAGTCATTAGTCTCTTACGACGCCGGATCAAGTAAAAATCACTCGTTGACGCGCTCTCGCGATGTTTCGATGCGCTAAAAATTATCAATCTTTCTTATCAATCAAATTCGACCACCAGCTGATCGACCACCACAAACCCTGCACCACCCCATTCTATACCTGATGATAGCCATCAGGCAGTCTCAATAGAAGACGAGCTTCTTTCCGATACGATTGAGACATTCTCATCCCCTCAAGAATCGGGTCCGCTCGATGACAGCCTGTCTTTGCAGCAACGTTAGCCATCTGGCCAAAAACTTCGATGAGGTCAAAGCCAAGGAGCTGGTCCCTCAGCTGAACCGGCACCTGGCAGCTATCCGATCGGTCTTGTCCAAATCTAAATCACTGTCCCGTGATGTACAATACAGCGTCACTCCCAACAACCAAAGGGCCATGAAGATTATGTCGATACAAGCCATCGATATGAACCTCGTGGACCAAGTTTGCAAGAGATTCAGGAATGACTGGGCAGGCTTTTGGATACCCTCAGATGATGCA